TGTGTGTGTGTGTGTGTGTGTGTGTGTAGTTTGTGTTGAATACATTGGAGAGAGACTCTTCTCAGCTTTTGTCAGTGAAACCTTAACATGCAACAGAATCATCTTGAAGACTTTTTAGAAATATAGATTGCTGTGCCATATCCCTAGCCTTTCTAATTCAGCAGGTCTGTAGTGGGGTCCAAGAATTTATATTTCTGTAAGTTTCTAAGTGATGCTGATGATGCTTGACTGTGAACCATCATTTTAGAACCAGTGTACAGGCAATTGGACTTCTGCTTTTATCTTTCATGGAGAAAGAAATGATTGTGACCAGATAGGAATTATAAGCCAAGCTAGCTATGTGTCTTGGAAGATACAAGTGTGAGAGAGATACCGAGAAAGAGAAGAGAACTAAGATGTCTGTATTCAGACAGAAAATGTAAAATTCTGCTAAAAATCATACTAATTCTAAAGTCATTTGCAGCTTGTGTTCTCTGCATTCCGCTTCAATATTCATTCAATAAATATATTTTGACCACTTATTATGAAATAAGGACTTGCATAAAGGATTCCTGTCTCTCTGGAACTGATTTTGCACTTGATGTTACTTACTCTGTCTTTAATTTTACTGCAGACTTCTTTTGACCCTATCTCTAGTTTCACATTTATTCTTCTTTCCCTCTTCTAATCTTAGCATGGCAAGGGCAGCTATCAGTGTTTTCCCATTTGTGTTTCTTCTGTATCAGAGGGTGACAAAGATGGTTCTGACTATTGGTAGAACTAAGGCTGGACCACTGATAGTCTTGGGCCCTTGGACTGGAAGCCATTTCTTAATATGACTGGAAGACAAGTATGAAACAGCTGTTTCAGTGATACTGAATTATGGAAACTGAAACTATGTGAAACCTATGAAAAAGAGAATTCAACTTTATTGTTTGAATTTGCATTTATTTGAGTATTAATGGCACAGAAGCTATATCTTACCCTTCATATTGGAAAATATTCTTAAAATAATGATAATTAGTGATGGTAAATGTGTATCAAGATAGCAACTTGTATATATTGGTGAGGAGAATGCTGTTGGAATACAATTTGCAATTAAGAGCCTTAAAAACATCTTCACACTTTTTGAATCATGATTTCCATATAATCAGTTTGTAGAAATTTAAACAGATGTACATAATAATTATACATTTATATTGATCATAGTATTGGCTTAAGTGTCAAAATATTGAAAATGTATTTTAATTATCTCAGAGGAAGGTTAAGTAATGGTATATTTCTAAAATTTCATATCATTCAATCATTGAAATTATATTTTTTAGATATTTCATAAGTAAATATTTTGAATACAAGTTTAAAACCAAAAATTCAAAAGTTTTTTCGGTTCTCTAACAATAAACAGACATAGGAAAATGATTGGAAAAAAATATATCACATATTAACAGTGGATCTTTCTGGGTTATAAATTAATTCTCTTTGCACTGTATTTTACAAATTCTATTTTAAAGAATGTGTTGTTTTTATTATAAGGCAAAAGTATGTGTGTGCATGAACACAGAAATACATGTGTGGGAGATATAATCACATGGAGTTATCTTCTTAGGCACCGTATGTAGATGCTCCAGGATTTGCAAGTGCAACTGACAGTCATTTTTGCCTTTGTATTGTTATGTAACCACAATCCTGCCATTATTCTGCATTGCCATACATATAATTGCCAGTGTTCCTAGATAAGTCATAACTTGTTCTTTAAGTGTCAGTGCTTTCCTCTGTCAGATGTAAAAAGAGAGAGAATGCATGTCTGGGCAGAATCTATGTGTCCTGAGAGTTCCATAAATTCTGAACAATCTCATTGTCTCTCCTCATAAGTACAGCAACTCTGTCTCTATTAAGCATTTCTCACAAAAGCTCTGTGAGAAAATACTTCTAAGAGAAGTATTTCTAAAAGTATGCTACCACAGTCCTATTCCTGACTAAATACTCACAATAATAATAGAAAACACTATTACGGCATTTGCCTTATGGCTAGGAACCATCTAACTGTTACTCCTCACCAATATCTTTTGTGGTAGGTACCCTTATTTTTTTCCATTGTATAGACAGGAATCCGGAGGCCTTCAGGTGGTCAATCATTTGCCCCAGGTCATGCAGCTAGGAAGATTAAAGCCAGGATTCAAATGCAGCCAGTGTGGTTCCACTTAAATATGCCAAATGATCTTCCTTTCTAGTTTTATTTTATCTGCCTTAAATTTCTGACAATGTGGAAAGAAAAGACCTTCAACTCGTGATTGTTGTTTTAGAGTGAAAACAGTTCTTTTCACTCCTGTCAGAAGTTTGCTGCCTGAGTGTAAATTCAGTGGGCTCCTTGAATTTTTAAGATCCTGGTACTCAATCATCCTTGCGCCTGTCAGGACTTAGTGCACGAGGGAGCTACTATTCAGGTTTTAAATATCTGTCACAGAAGCTTCATTCCTAGCTGCTCCATTTCATTATTAGTTGTGGTAAGATATCAGGGGAGTTTTGCTTTTAGAAGTGGCCTTGTAATTGTTGGTAATTAAAGAAAAACAGGATGCATAATATCTGAAAATGTATCACTGACGCTGAACTCAACTTCCTTTGGATGACTAATATTTGTAGTAGAAGGTTTCCAAGGCATATTAACACTGCAACATAATTTATGCTTATGGGAGTACACTTTTTGTAGATTTCTTAAAATATTTTTCTTCTGTTATGAGATAGTAATTAATGAAGTTTAAAGGCTTCAAAGGTTTATTTACTTTTCTCCTACGTAGTTTTGAACCCAGGCAGGAGTAGCCTAGAATAAAACCCATTAATGTAGCAGTGTAACTTGAGCTAAGTTAAAATCCTTCTGTGGTAGTCTGTATTTTCTAGTTTTTCTTAAGAGGCTAGATTTGTGACTATACCAATAATAATGATTATTTGAAAATCCTTGGGGCTTACCAAGTAAGCTTCATCTGAAAAAAAAATCCAGAAGCAATGCTTTATTAATTAAGATCCATACATCTTTTTCATTTTGGTCCGTATACTTTGTTCACCCCCTTTGAAGGAGGAGTGCAGCTTGACTTCATAATGCCTAGTAAAAGTTCTGTGCAGTGAGAATTCCACCATTTTAAAAACCGATTTGCAGATATGCACACGTGCATGTGTGTGTGTGTGTGTGTGTTTTCTGTGTGCTTGAATGTTTAGAGTATATTTCCTATGCAGGGAGCTATCTGGGGATCTGGGGTGATTTCACAATTGAAAGGAATAATAGTTTAGGGAGATTGTCAGATACTCAATACGAGTTGAAGTGAGAAACTCCCCTATTCCCCAGCATTCAGTGCTGGTAATTTATTATGTTATGGAGTTTTTAAAATAGTGATAATAGTGGTTTTGGTGGTAGTACTAGGCAGCTAGCTTTTTGTCTAAAGCACGGACTTTAATGGCCTTTAAAAAAGAATGCTTTCCTAAGAATGATGCCTTCCTGAGAGTGCATATTTGAAGGTTCCCCATTTTATACATACCCATAACTACACATACCACAGACACCCACACAAACAAATTAAAAAAAAAATACCCGTTTCCAAATTACCTTTGTCTATGAGGCTTTTGTTACCTTCTCCAGGTAGAATTAATAACATTTCACTTGTTTCTCACAATGTTTTGTGCATTCTGCTGCTGTAGCACATTTCACATTGTAAAAAAATTGCACTCTTCTCATCTGCTTCCTACGCTAACATATGTACTACTTGAAGTCCACCCTTATTTACCCCTATCCTTTTGCTCAGCACGGTGACTGGCACATCTGTTAGGTTTATAATAATCTGTTGTTTATTATGATTTTGGAAATACTAACAAAAGTAGGACTGGTTTCCTGGGTTGTCAACCATAAAAACTTGTTTCTCAACTTCTGTAGAAATTTGAGAGACTTTCAAGAATTGCCTTCTAGGCACAAGTCTGAGTAAAAAGAAGGTTATAATACCCCATATTTTATGTTTAGGAAATGGTATGGCAGTAGGAGTTGAGGGTTAGGGGCTGACAGATAGTAATGTGCTTTTAGGTCTTTGTGGAAGCATCTCAGGTAAAGGGTGATGGATGGATAGAATTCTGCTGGATGTTATTGGGGGTAGACTGGTTAGTGTCTGAAGTTGCTGAAGATCAACATGATACATCTTTGTTTTGTAATTAGGAAGGGAAATTAGGAACAATAATTGATTTAATTCTTTGTCAGCTTAGAGACCAAACTATCCTTCGATACAAGGAAATATTTAAAGAGCTATGATAGAACACTGTGTGAAGAACTGAAAAAATGCAAATCATTCTATTTCATAAGAGTTATTATTGTGACTTTTCTTTTGTTTGTTTTCTTGTGTACTGAAAAGGTGTTTTGTTATATCCTGAAGGGCTGATAGTAGACCTGCAACTTGAAAATAATGTTTTCAATGACTTTAAAAATGAAGACCTTTACTTTTGAAACTTGACTTACTGATAACTATCAAATATATATAGAGAAACATATATAATTTTTTGAATGCTTAATACAGGTATAGATATTAAGATATTTATGTGTATTGTCTCATTTAACACTGTGAAGTAGATACTTTTACCCCAGTTTTATATGTTAAAAAAAATAGTGCTTTGCTCTAAAAGGATTTATGCCAAATCACATACCTGATGAAGTAGTGGAGCCAAAATTTAATCCCATGGTATCTGACTCCAGACACTTTGTCTCTGGCTTCACAGACACATCCCTAGAAGGGCAGATACTTTGTTCCTGTGTTTAAAACCAATCACTTTGTGGTGTTAAGCAGAGTACTAAAGAAGATTTCGGTTGGCCCCAGGTAACTTCTAGATCTACAGGGACTATCACGTGTGCTCCATTAGAAAACAGGGCTCCCATAAACCTTGAAGCTATTATGATCATTCATCGGTTCTTTACTGAAACTGTGTCAGTGGACTTCTGAGTTCCCTTGATTCCATCTTATCCACTTTATAGCCAAAGTGAGTTTTCTAAAATGAAAATTTAATTATATCAGTTCCCTGCTTAAATCATTCAGTGGCTCCCCATTTTTTTCTGAATAGTTTAATTTTTTTTTTTTTACTGTGGCTTATAAACTACTTTTTGGACTCTGTGTACCACTCTTACCTCTTTTCTTTCCACTCTCACACACCACAGCTAGCCTTTTCAGCTCCACACTTATTCTTACTGGGCCTTTGCCCCTCCTACCTCCACTAACTAGAACGCTTTCCTCCCTGCCTCCCACACCAAGTTGCTCACACTGCTAGGCTCATTCTGTAGGGAGTTGCTTCTAAAGTCCCAAATTTGGGTTAAGTATTTCTCCTGGATATTCTAGCAGCATTCTCCACTTCCCTTTTATAAAACATCATGCTGTGTGTGTGATTACTAATTTTTACTTTCCACTTGACTGTATGCTCACTGGAGGGGAGAAAAGATGTGATGATTTTCTTCATCCTTGGATCCCCAATATTTGGTGCATAATAGGTGTTCAGAATTTTTTGTTGTGTGTGTGAATGAAGGCAATCATCATTTAAAATACTATTTGATAACACATAAAGTACCATTTTAACTGTTCAAATATATAACTTCATTTAATCCACAGAAAACTCTTATAAGGTAGATACTATTGTTGTGTCCCGTGAAATGAGATACTTGCTACACAGGAATTTTAAGTAACTTGCCAAAGGTCACACAACTAATAGGTGTCAATATGAGGATCTGGACCCACTGTCAGGCTTCAGATTTGGACTCTCCACTACTGCTTCACTGCCTCTCTGAAGTCAACAGATCAGTATTTCTAGGTGACAGTTGGTACCTCAGGGCTTTCACAAGAAGGTAAACATGAAAGCTGGTTATTAGTCCCATCTTTGCCACTAACAATTGTGTGATTCTTCTGATCTCACTATGCCTTAGTTTAATTATTTGCAAAATTAGGTAACTGTGAATTGAATGATCCCAGAGGTCTTCGTTCTCTAAATGACAGTGATTTAAACTAAGCACTTATTTGTGCCACTCTGACAAAGATAAAGTATTGAAAATAAATTACCAAAGCACTGTGAGTTAAAATAAGTTACTCTGCATCCCGTCTACAGACTTCTCCCTGTTATCTCCAGTTTGTGAAGTTCATAATCTCATCCTGTTACTCTCTGATCAAGGAGTTGGACTTGAATAAGGCTGTCAGATGCAAAAACGAAATAGCCACCTTAAAACCACCTATGAAATGAATCTCCATTGATATAGTTACTTTGACATCTGACTACCGTCAATAATAATTTAAATGAACAGTATAGGTCATTGCCTAGGCCAGTGTCTAGCACCTAGTAGGCATTCAGTAAATATTAGTTCTCTATGGATTTTATTTTTCCTGTGAGTCCACTCTTACGGATTTTACTTTTCCTGTGAATTTTCAGTTATATCACCTTTTTTTCTGTCTCTAACAACATTCATAAAAAAAGGAGAGCTAATAAGCATTCTAGCTAATTTGGTACATGTTCCTGTTATATAATCACCATGGTATCCAGGCTCTCAACTGAAAGCAAACAAATTTATAGAAAGAAAAACTTACATTTTGCTCTCTTACTCAAGGTGTACTGTTATGGAAAACCTGACTCTGTCTTATTTTGTCTTTGATTAGTAGATACTGTTTTCTAATGAGTTCTGTTGGAATTTAGGTGTAATTGGAGGATCTGCTTTGGAAGAATCACCAAGTTATATTAAATGTTAGACAACATCACCTTTCTCTTTTAAAGAGTATGGATATATGTCTACATCTAAAGACTGAATATTAAATGATGTCAAGGCATAAAAAATGTTAATATATTCATGTCACTTTTCTTTTTTGTAATTTCTTTTTAATGACCAATGCCCTGGTGGTCAAACACTGAAATTAGGTTCTTGCTATGAAATGAAAGATGAGTGAAATTCAAATGTATTTTTTTAATGTAAATCCATTTTCACTTATTAAAGGTACTAAGTGTTTAATTGAATATAGAACATCTCACTTATTGTAAATGTAAAACAACCATAGTATTGCATGTCATTATCTAAATTATATCCACATAATGATCAAGATTTAATAATGGCACTAAGAAAATACACCCACAGCACTTAGTAATCTGCCCACAGTGAGAAATTCTGAACAAGTTATGTGTGTGGTATTTTAGTCCTTCTCCCAGCATATTTCAAAGCAGCTTTCGTTGTCAGAACTTTGAAAACCACAGGAAAGCATGTTTAGTGGATTTTCTTCAATTTTGAAAAGGCTAAGGGGTTATGGTAACTCATTACCTGAATCCAAGAGAAACTTTGGCTTTGGTGTACTTAATTTCTTACTTTATGGTGCATAAAGAGTCCTCAATATATGACTGCATAATGTTTGCCCTGCAGAATTTGAAATTTAAAAAAAAGAAAAGAAAGCACCTTACCCAGGTCAGCTTCCTAAAGATCTTTGCAAAAATTACTACCATTTAAAAACAGATATTACCTCCACTATTGTTTATGAATTAAATTGTCTTTATTTAACATGAAAGAATAATCATTAAGCCCCTGATTTAAGAGACTTGATTATTTAAAATTCATGAGAATTTCTGAAAATTTATATGGTTGTACATAAAGTGATCATATAAAGTCTACTTGAAAATTTCAACACAACATAAAACATGTTATAAAAATTCATATGTGTTACCTATAAAGGGTGAGTTGGAGAAATTATCATGTCATATAAAATTGTGTTAACTGTGATCCTAGAAACTAAGGTAAATAACGTTAAATGGTTTTAAAAAAATTGCCTTCTTTGTGTCTGATTTTAGAATTGTTCTCAAGCATTGCTTGATCTCACTTATTTTATGAAAAATAAAGCAACTGTGTGTATAAAAGAGTGTAATTCATGTATCAGAATTTTTTATACATAGGGAAAATCATATTAGTATAAAGTAACATTACTTTTTTCTCTAAGGCAGTGAGCAGTTCAGATCTGTTAAAGAATCACTGCAAGCAGACATGCATGGGATTGTGACCTGATTATCATTTACAATCTGTCAGTCTGCACAAGAGATATACAAGATGTAGTTGTGAATTTCCTAATATAGAGAGAAGAAAAAACTTAAATCAATTCTGTTACTTAATCTACACATTTGAAAATGTGCTTAAGTAGTTGGGCATGCCCTCTGCAAAGTAGACAAGCAAATACAGTATTAACAAATCAGACTTGAAACTAAATTTTTGATCTGAAGAATAATGATTGTCAGTTTTCCTGGGCCAGTCATATCTATATGGTTAAAACTTGGCACCTCTGGGTTCCAGGAAACACTTCATGGTATGTGTACCTATTAGGTTTAGCTTCGACTGCACTTAACAAGAAAAACAAAATATGGTGAAGGTTTATTTCTCCCTTACATAAAAAGAGTTTGTAGGGAGGCTGTCCAGGGCTCCTGTGGCAATTCCACAGTATTATCTTGGCTCCTATTTTCTACTTTGCCATTCTCAGCTTGGTGGTTTCAAATTGAACAGTGGAGATGACTATTAGAGTTTCAGGTATTGTATCAACATTCAAGGTTGTGCTAGCCCCCCACCCCCATTCCCCTATTTAAGGAGAATTTCCCATGGCACATACGAACTTCTGCTTGTATGTCACTGGCCAGACGTAGCTACATGACTATATCCAGCTGTACACGTAAGGCTGATAGCCATTTAGCTGAGCATATTGTTCTGGATTCTGCTACTAAAAAATAGGGAAAATGACTATTGGAAGAAAATTAATATGAGAAGCAACTATCTAAAACATAGTTGTGCCATGGAAATTGAAGTCTGTTTATTGCGTTAGAAGGATACTGTATTCATAACAGGCATTCTTATGCTTAAGTGTTCCCCTTGTAGCCAACTTTACAAGATGTGTGTGAAGAGAAAATGGTGGCAGCCATCCCAAATTTATTTGAGGGGTAAATTGAAGGTAGATAATCAAGTGCAGGAAAGCCAGGGAAGAAATTGAATAGATGTTCTGAACTTAGCCTCAAAAGTCAGAGACTGACTGAAGACACTGAGAAATAGCAATAGACTCACAACTGGCTTTGGTGAACCCTTTCAGACAGAGGCTAAATTTGAGTTAGACTGGCAAAAAACCAGAGAGGCTGCAAACAGCAGCTCTCAATCAAAGAAGCATGTATTTGCATGTGTTTAATGGGAGAAAGGGACCTCTGATAGCATTTATGCACAGGGAAATGTAACCCATCAGCAATGGCATGTTTGATTTGGGAAGGACAGAAAGTAAAGAATGGAAGGAAACCTTACTGGAAACAGAGAAAAACTATAGCAAATATGTTTAAGTATTCTTTCAACTTCATGTGAAAAATGATCTTTGTTTCCTTTGAAAAATCACACATTGTACTAAAGTCTGAAAAGTAATACATATTACAATGGAGTCCATAAATACTCTGATATTTTTGTGTTCTCCCCTCTGCAATTTATAACAGACGACTAATATATTGAGTCTGAGTATGAATTTGATAAGTATGGCTATTTATCCAGAATTTATGGTCACATTTCTTGGATGGTAGCTCTGCTGATAGTAGTCAAACTGACAGTTAGAAATTACAGAATTCAGGAGGATGGCCATTATTTCACTCTGAGACAGATGCAGTTTTACCAGAGGAATTTCATTTTGTTGAAAAAAAAAACAACACCTTATGTAGCATTTTATTTTTTATGCCTTTCCTTTTCTTAATTCCTTCAATTTGCTTAGGCAAACAAACTATAACCCCAATTGGTCAGCAAGTACATACTTCTTTTGAGGGGAAAAAAATGTCCTCTCAACTTACTGTTGATGATCAGAAGAAATTGGGGTGTGTGTGTATGTGATTTTATAAATGACATTTAAAAAATTTTTTAATAAATTACATTTGAAATGTGTGTGAAAGTGAAATTTGGTAGCTAAATACATAGGTCTAATTTCATGATGAGGGTGTCAATGGAAATTAGTTTTCGGTGTCCTCCACGTATAGATGACAGTTGAAAGCTGCATAGAGTTCAGCAATCCTGAAAAAGAAGAGAATGAAAAGAAGGCTATGGACTAGTGTTTGTATATAAGGGCGGAAGAACCTGAGTAGAATCAAAAAGTGATGAACTAAAGATGTAGTGATCAATGCTGTTCAGAGATGCAGTAAAAAGTTTAAATAAAGCAGAAATTGGAGGATTAGGAAACCGGAAGATAATCTGTTATCTTATCCTACTGGATTGGAATGCTGGTGGTTGAAACGAGGCTCACTGTAGTGAGTAAAGCAATGCAAAGGAGGTGGAATCAATAACTATACGTGACTCTCTAAGAAGTCTCATGACAAGGAAAGGAGATGAGACAGTAATAATGCCTATTAAGGATTAGTATACCTATGTTGCCAATACAGGAGTCACATGTAGCTATTGAGCACTTGAAATGTGACAAGCCTGAATTGATATGGGCTATGAGTAAAATAGACACTGAATTTCAAAGAGTTGGTATGAAAAGAAATGCAAAGAATTTCATTAAAATTTTAATACTGATTATATTTGAAGTGATAATTTTGATGTATCAGATGAAATATGGATTATTAACATTAATTTCACCGACGTCTTTTTACTTTTTTAATGTGGTTACTAAATTTTTAAAAATTGCATATGTGGCTTACGTTTGTGGCTCATATTTTATTCTGTTGGACAGTCAATGCTGGTCTATACTCTGATACCAATTTGCCACCTCAATTTTTGACAATAATATATGAGGGAAAATCAGAAGCTATTCTAAAAACTATAATTTTTTCCTACAGTTACTTAGAAGTATAATTTGCTATAGTAGAAGGAACATGAGCCCCTGGATCCAGCTTTGCTACTAACTAGCTGTGTAGCCCCAGGAAACTTATTTAACTTCTGTGAGCTGTGATTTCTTCATCCATAAAATGAGAATCATAATACTCACCACACAGGATCATTGTGAGGATTAAATGTGAATGTAAAGGGCTTTGCAAAGTCCATGTCACATAATTTGCCCTTAATAAATGTTACTTACCATCTCTCCTTTCTGTGTGACCTATAACTCTGGTAAAAAAAAAAAAAAAAGAATAGAATTGATCTGATATACTGTAAGCCTCAAAATCAGAGGAGTATGGGGAGCAGGATAAAAATAACAATAGAGGTTACTGACCATCTGAAAAGGAAAATAAAATCTTTCAAGATTAAAAAAAAATAACAATTAACCTTAGCCTTTTCTGGAAGGATGTAGCAATAAAATTTCTTGAAATACAGAAATACATACATATACATTTATTTATATGTATTTTATATACAAATGCATACATACATAAATATGTATGTGTGTATTTCTCCGTGGGCCTTGTGGAACAGTATATGTGTAATTGTTTGGTAAACTAGAGTGCACCGCATCTATTCACGTATGGACAGTGGTGCTGTTATCACTACTCTCTAAAGTTACATCTACTAGAAACTGATAAATGGAGGAAAAGAATGAGTGACTCAGAGAGAAAAAAAAATCGGATTATGATGGTAATGAAAGAAGAAAAAGAAAGACATAGGTAGAAAGAATTTGCGAAAAGTCAAAATAAGAAATATACATCTAGCTACCAGTTTTCTTTCTCAGCCTTGACATGCTTCCATAGATGGAATGGTCCAAAATAACTCCCTCCATAATGCTCAAGACACAGTAGTAAGTAAGTATAACAAAAAGCCCTTCCCTGAGGACGCTTGTATTTTGAAGGAGACAATAAACAAAATAAATATGTGAAACACATGTTATTAGATACTAGTTCCAAACTAAAAAAAAGAAAAAAATTCAGAGAGAGATAGAATCTGATGGTGGGGGAAGATTACAATGTTAGAAAGGATAAAGGAGTATGGCTGACTGAAAAGGTAACACTGAATGTAGATGGAAAAGAAATAAATGAGCAAGTCATAGGGAATTCTGGGGAAAACATTTCAGATGTCCTCTGAGCAGAAGTAAAGATCATGATTCAGGAACTTTGGAATGGTGTGGAGGCCAGTGTGGCTAGAGCCTAGTGAGAAGACTAGTAGAAGGGCAAGAGGTCTAAGAAGTAACCGGTGGGTGGGGAGATCATCTGAGACTTGAAATGACTTGACTTGACATGACTAGAAGTGCTCAACTTGGATTGATTGACATGCCTCAACTTGACTTGACCTGGCTTAATGTGAGCTTACTTGATTTAATTTTCTACTGAAGATCATTTAAAGGTTTGGCTTTTACTTTGAGTAAGATGGGGATTTGGGGTTCTGAACAGACGAGTGACATGAGCTTAACTTCCGTTAGATAGAATCACTCTGGCTGCCTTTTGAGAGGGAGGTATGAAAGGCTGGGACTGGCATGTTAACAGTAGAAGTGCTAAGAAGTTCTGGATTTATTTTAAAAGTAGAGCAAAAAATATTCACAAATGGATCAGATATGGGATGTGACAAAAAGAGAGAAAGCAAGGATGACTTTAAGATTTTGGTCTGAGCAACTTCCAATATATAGTTGCCATTTACTGAGGTGGGAAATACTGTGAAGTAATAGATTAAGAGAGAGATGATTTAAATGATGGGGACTTTGTTTCTGGAAATACTAAATTTGAGATGTCTTGAACATTAAAGAAGAGCTGAGGGAAATATGACTTGGAGTTCATAGGAGATGGTCTGGGATGGAGATATATATTTGGGAGTCTTGAGTATGTAAATGGCCTATAAATACATATGATTAGGTGAAATCTCCAAAGAACAGTGAAGAGATAAAGATAGATGAAGTGGGAGGGGAAAAGAAGGGATGGGGAAATGAGAAACAAAGGATCCTGAGAAAAAATGACTATTCTGATGTATTAGAAGCCAAGTGGTGAGGGTATTAAATCTAGAGGCATGGGCCAGCTCAAATGTTGATACTGGGCCATGTAAGATGAGGATTAGGAACTGTCCTTTAATTTAGCAACATAGGGATCAGTTTTGATAGAAAGGGAAAATCCTGATTGGAGAGAAGTCAATAAAGTGTGGAAGTAGGAAAATCAGAAACAGTAATCACACACAATTTGGGGGAAGGGGTGATAGTTTTATTATAAAGAGAGGAATAAAACCAGCTGAAGGGTAAAGTGGAATGGAGAGTTGTGGGGTTTTTTAATAAGATGAGAGAAATAGGAGAATAATCCATGCCCTTGATGATGATCAGTGAGCAAAAAGGTTAACATGGATGGTGTAGGAGAAAGGCAGGAATTTCTGGACTCTAGTACAGTGAGAGGGGATGGGATCTGCTGGTCAAATGGAGGTCTTAGCTAGAGGCACACTTGCCCATAGTAACTAACACATTCTGTTTGTATAAGGTCACAGGTGCAGCTGAATGGATAAATGTTCTGTGGAGCCTTTTGGGAATTCTTTTCTGGTTGCTCCTCTTTTCCTAGTTGAGATAGAAAGCAAAATCATCAGCTTTATTTGCTAATGACCTTCTTCCTATCTGTCTGTCCTCTGCTTTACCAACTTTTTCTTTAATCCTTACCCATAATTAGGTACTTATCCTTATTAGCCTCAAAGTATGATCCCCAAATAAAATGCATCAGGATTTCCTGGAGTATTTATTAAAATGCAGATCTGCTTGATATATAATAGAATATCCCTGGGAAGTGGAGCCAGGAATATGAATTTTTAGCAAGTTCTCCTGGTGATTATGATTCACAGTATATTTTGAACAACACTACCCTTTCCCTTCTTTGATTGCTACAGTAATAAATGCCTTATCCTCTTTCATCCCCTGTAAATTGCTTTATCTTTAGAAGAACGCTTTCATCTGTATTTGGTAGAAAATTTTGCACACATTGAATATATTGGAATATCTAACACTGATAGAGTTATTTTTCTAACTATAGTTTTTCCTGATCACATTCAGGGATTGAAAAAAAATTGTTCCCACATGTTATGAACACAAGTATACTTAAGGGATTTTTTTTCCAGATTCTAGACAAAGATTATAAACAATGTAGTACCTGATAATTTTATGTTACAATTAAATCATGTCATTAGGAGATTATGTGTTGTCTCTAGTGAAACAAGTTTAGAACACTGAAGTTTGCTAATAAAAAAGGCCGTGTCTCATGCGTCTTCATATGCTGAATCCTTAATAAATGTTTAATAGAGAAAAGTGAATTAAATGACTCTACATATTTTCATTTATTTATTTTTTAATTTTTAAATTTTTTTACGGGGAGGGAGGTAATTAGGTTTATTTATTTATGTACTTTTTAATGGCAGTACAGGGGATTGAACCCAGGACTTCATGCATGCTAAGCATGTGCTCTACCACTTGAGCTATACCCTCCTCCATATTTTCATTTAAAACAAACTTTAAGTACAATATATAGATTCTAAAACATAACCATAGCAAAGTTAAAGAAAATGCAGCCAAAAGAAAGGAAGGAAGGAAGGGAATTATGAAGGAAGGACTCTGGACCAGTTAGTTCCTTTTTCTAACACAAATCCTAAAAGTGTTGTCTACACATACTGCCTTTTAATATTTTTCTATCCTACATTATAATTTTTGAACAATCAGAGTTTATATCACACATATTAAGATTGTTAGGTAAAAGAAAAAATCTATTAGAATTAAATCAAGCAAGACAGGACATAGAAAATGTCTACAAATTGGAGGTGGTTATCACAAGAAAATTGTATGACAAATAATGTTATGTATATATTTAAGGTCATGACCTTGAATATATTTAAGATGGGAGAATGAAGAGAAGGGAGCAAGGAGGGTAGTTCAGAATGAAGTAATTTTAACTGAGGCTTTGTTTTTCTTTGTCAATGAATATTTTATTTTAAATCAGGGTGAAAAAGAAGTGCTCATCTTTGTATTAATTCTAAAATTATTAGGATTCTGGGCAGTTCTCCTAGACAATTGTAGCAGATTTTATTCTTACAGTGTTGTTACTACTATTTTCTGACTTTAATGTAACTCTTATTTTCTTAAGAAAATTAATGATTATTACTTTACAGCTGGCTTGTTTAGTCTCTGAGAGTAATGCTACATAAACTTAGTAAAAGCCCAACAGAAATGAGGTCAGTTAGAGAAATACAAATTGTTCTGATTTACTTAATACTTTCTTTAAGTCATGTTGTTCTTTGTATTATGATTTCTAAAATATGTTTCCAAATCACTTTAAGCAGTTAGTGGCTTAGTGTTCAGCTGTTTCAATAGATGTGTTTCTGCTCTTCTATTTGTTTGTGTACAAGAATCCCTTTCTGACAGTCGAAGTGGGATTTGAAATTACATCACCAGCAGGCAGTTTCTTGGACAAATTACTATTTGGGCCACTAATGTGGAGGAAAGGAAGAATGTTTATTGCACTATTGAACTGGCTCATGCTTCTATAGCTAAAGATTGTGCCAGAGGCCACTGTGCTGGGAAATAGTCCAAGAGAAGCTGTACACCTTCTGTTTTGAGTGACTTGTCTCTATACTGAGAACACATATTGGTGTTCAGAAAGAAGGCTGAGTATATTTTGTAAGAGCAGTGGGGAAATTTAGGTATATGGGTTGACAACGTCAACATTTCCGTGATAGTGTTTACTTGAGACATAATGTTTGGTCTATTTCCTATTAAAATTATTTCAGTATCATTTTGTGATGCTTCACAGTATTTTTTCATACATAAATATGGTAATATGTTTTATATCACATGCCATTTTGAAGTAGATCAGTTTTCTTTTAAAAATTTAACCTATAACCAGTTTCCCACCCCAGCAACCCGAAGATAGCATGCATAATTTTAAAATAAAATGTTCAGCCATATTTTTCTGTAGAAAAGTGAGATAATACTCAGAAATTTCTATGGGGGTTGAAGAAGGAAAGATAGAACCAATATTACAAATATATGTGTTTTCAGGTTTCAGAGTAAGGTAGCTTTGAATCCTCAATCTAAGATCACGATATTAAAAAAATTGTTTCAAGAAAATATTTATCCAAATATTGAATGTACCAATGGTTTAATTCTTTAAGAGAATCCCAGCAGGAGACTTTGGCCTTCAAAGGTTTTTAATGTAACTTTCCACTCCAGGCCATATACTTTAACTAAATAGCTGCATCTAGTTAAGAATCTAGAATTCCAAAAATCTTCTAAAACTCTATTTGAAGCTCCTGATCTTCAGGGTTCATATCATATGCTTATTACTTGTTTTGCTGATAATGAATGTAAAGAAATCCAGTTGCATGTACCTTTTCCTTAAATGAAGTGACTATAGTTGAAGACCATTTTCCCATGGATGATGCATGGAGGGATGGAGGAAAACTGGAGTTGCCTAAATAGTAGTTTCTCCATAGCCTGACACAATTTGCATTTCCAGGGACAGCTTCGGGTGAATCCTATCACAAAATCCAGACCCCAGGTTTTTACTTAGACTCCTCAGAATCACTAACTTTGGAAATAACTTCTAGGTCGAGTTAGCAATTAAGGACTTCAGTTATGTTTTAGAATGGACCTTAAAATTGTCCAACTGGGCCCACTAGTTATAACTATGATTTTACACTGCTATTTTGAGGACAATGTCTCATAAAACATTTGTTCAAACTTGACTTGAGTAAAACACTCTATGGTATCACACTGCTCACTAACTCCATAGTAACCTTCCATTTTGTTCTAAGGCAAATGTAAGTTCCTTAACACTCCCACTGCTCAGTGGAAGTCCTTATGTTTCTGTGAGGTACTCTTACAAGGAGTTTTAAGGAAATAGCCATTCTAGCAGTCTCAAAATTCAAGCAGAGAGTAGTAAACTTAAACTTTCTCTTTGTAAATCAAAGAAAAGTGTTCAAAGACTTAAATGTAGATTCAATTCTTGTAACAGCCTTGGATACTTCATAGCATCGCAGGGAAGGTATGCAAACTAAGTGCGTAGAATATTCATGAAGTGTCATGGTTCATTGTTTACATTCACAATTAATATTGAAAAGTTTCTAATGCAGACAGCTACATAAGATTTTATGAAAAAGGAAAAAATAATGCTGTATCATGACATGGTAAAGTTCAACAGAGCCAATTCAGGTTGACACATTTAAGGTCAAGTGCTTGTCTATGCACATATTACAGAAAGAAATTTTAAAGTAAAAATATAGGTCAATGGTTTCATATCAAATGAAAAAAAGCAACATATTATAGGAATATTTAGTTCAATTTCTGAAGTCTTTAATATGCTTTGCCAAAAGGGTATTGTATTCCTTTGAAAATAATTACCTCATTTTAGGATGAAAACCAAGATATAGAAAATGGTTAAACATCAAAATGAGATGCTAAACAGTTACATGGTTAAATTAGTTCTAAGATCAATATAGTTCATAGCAAAGAGATAAGTATGAATAAAAGTTGTGGAGGAACAAGCTATGATTGTATTAATATTCTTCCCCAAGATTCTACATTAGTCAAATTCTACTTCAGGTGTTAACAGCCATTATTATTTACCCTATTTTAAAGAGAATGCAGTTAGAAAACTGGACAGAATGCAAAGAAGAATGTGTTCTTTGTCTTCATTTAGAAAAATAAAAGAGAGATTATGTTGCAATGACTGAGCTTATACTCTGAAAACTATATACATATTATTTACTGCAAATACAGTTATTTTGAAAAACCTATTCTACATGCTGACATCCGTCTCCAAATTCTTCTTTCTTTGAGAACTGATAGCTCCTAAGCAATGAGCCAAGAAAATGATAATGAAGGATAATATAGTCTGTCTCATGTATACTCCATGTTTGCATTTTCTGTATTGACATTCCCTCATCTCTATTTTCCCTCAATGATCTGCACCATCTACTCCGTAATGGTGGGGGAGGCATTTTTAAGTACTCTTTAGAGTTAAGGATCACTTCCTGGTTAGAGCCTGATCATGCAGTGGACTTCTCCATTACCTAGACATATGAGTACCTTGACCTTTCCTGGGCAGCCTAATCAAACATTCTCTGGTCACTTGGCTCAGCTGTACAGAAGGAGTGTGACTATTTAATGAATTTGTCCTCAATGTCAGGTGCACTCTAGGATTTGGACATTGTGTAAGAGCTCATATTGGCTGTTTTTGGTGTTTTCTCTCACTACAGGATAGCCATAGAACTTGAGAATCTGAGAAGGGAATCACTACTGGTTCTTTTCCATAATATCTTCCTAGCTTTACACTCAGCAGCAGTATCTGGGCAGTGTAAATCTTGGGATTTTTTTTTTTTTTAAGACTTAGGAAACCAGAAAGGAAGAACTGGGGCCAGATTAAATCATGGAAGTTTTCAGCTATATACACCATCACTGTCCAGGCTTTAGAACATTAGAATGAAGTATAAAGAGTACAATGCTATTTATTGCTGGAGTTTTTCCAAGAATAACAAATACACTATATTTCCTGGCAGTTTTAGTTCAGCAGATTTCAATCTTCCCTCTCCCCTTACTAAAATGCCTGAGGAATAAGACTATAACGTAAGTAACAATGGTTGCAAACTCCATGATTATCAATATGAAACTGACACTCACCTCCACCCTTCCCAGCTCCCAGTTTGTGCATGATTTGGTGATCTGGCTGTTTAAAAGCATTGAATAATTTAAAATAAAACCCTGGAGGTAACAGCTATACCCTCTAGAAGGCTACATACATACACACATACACACATGCATACACATGCATA